GGAGGGGGGGGGGATCCTGCAAGTCACGTTGTCCTAGCTGCTCCAGAGACGCCCACCACGCTAGAAGGGACAGGCCAGCACTCGGGGAAGGGGGGAACGGTGAGAAAGAAAAAAAAGAAAAGCCCTTTGTTTGGAAGGATGTCCAAGGTGCAGTGAGGCAGAGTATTAGCTTGTTAAGTGATGTGGAAGTAGCCAAGTAGCATCATTGGGTGGCCGGAGCGCTGCATGGTGAGAGTGTGAAAGGTCATTTAAAACCTTTCCTACAAAGCATCTTCTGGGCTTGTTTTTAGAAGTGCTGAGCTTCCTCCAAAGCTTCGTAAAATGCATGTTTACTGCAGGTGTTTGACACCCCCTTCTGAAACAGCAGATCATTAACTTTGCTGTACCTCAGTTAACCCATGGAGAAAGTGGAGATGAGAATATTTTCCTTTTGTAAAGGAATGTGGTGGGGCCATTTTCCAGACAGCCTTTGGTGGGAGAAAGGTGATTCTCGGATGCAGTACAGAATCCATGTATAAAACACATTGACACTTTATTAATAATTACTTTATGCTCTAGTCACAGCTACTACTAATTTCTAACTATATTAAAAAAACCCCCAAAACAAATAACCATGCATCAAGGCTCAGTCTGCACGCAGAGAAAAGACAGGCTCAGCCTTTATATAACTCTTCTGGCATCATGCTGAACTTTTGTGTTGGAGCTTGTTCAAAAAAACCAAGCTAGTGTTAATTAGGGCAACAGTTTATTGAACTGATTTTGTGTGAAATCATTTTTATCAAACTCCTTGCATTGGTTTGCCAAATTAATTTTCCTGGAATGAGGATAGTTGTTCGGCTGTTGGTTCTCTGATTACAGATGCAAACACAGAATGACAGTGTGCCAAAAATCAATAACATAGTGTTTGAGCATCTTCCTGTCATTCCTGTCAATAAATGGGAAAATAAAGACAAATCTGTTTCAATAATATAAATACAACTTGAAGTTTAATCTTCACAAAATAAAGAGCAATAGGTAAATACTTAAAATTCTTTTCAGCGCATACAAGAAAGTCCTAGTTAAAGTCTTACTAAAAAGTATTGTCCCAAGCAGTGCACGCAACTTAGATATTCAATAATTGATAGTAAAATATTAATGATTGCCAGGATTCTTACTATTGGATCAGGGAACTTCCCTTATACTGGAAGGCTGATGATTCTGGACTTGTTCTCCTGAGTTTACATGCACATGGTCAACAAACTTTTTTTCTAATACCAACCTCAGAGTTTCTTTAGACAGTGAATTGAGTTACTGTTTGTGAGCAACCGGAGTTTAAGTCAGTGAAGTATGGTTTGTGTTATCCTTAAAGGAACGACAAGGCTTATTTTGTATAGCTAATAAGGAGACTCGGTCTTTGTAGTTTTCACCTTCTTATCTTTAGTGTCCTCATTATTTTCCAAATTGTAGTTTTAACTGGATGATTTCATCATCCACTCCTCACCCCCCAAAAAATAACCCAGCAACACCAAAAGACCAGCACATTCAGTTCTGAGAGACTTCATTTTAAATGCCAAAGGGCCAAACTTTTTTTTTTTTTAATTAAGAATGTCTGCTGTATCCACAGACTTTACAAACTAAGCTCAGCAGATGAGAACAGGATGAGAAAAGGGCCACTTTGATCTCTGCACTAAAAATCAACCATCATTGTCAAAGCAAGTGAAGATGAATGGATAAATTAACTGACCGGTTTTCGAATTAAAACTAGAATCACTTCTCATCTTGCACTTGAGCATCAGGACATCAGTAAGATGCAAAAGTGGACTGCACATTGGCATTTTTGCTATTTAATGATGACTGTGAAGTCACCTCAGTTTCCTATGGCTTGTAGAGAGGATAACGCACTGTATGTTGTGCAGATTTGTTGTAGGAGGCTTCCGTGCCTGTTTTCCATTACCACTGGTGTGGTCCACTGGAGCTCTGTCTGTGCTGCCATCCTTGGCTAGATAACCATGAGTCAGGCAACAAGATAAAAACAAACCAAAACTGGTAAGAAGTGAAACTAACAGAAAGAGCTTGGATAGGTGTGATAAAGCAGTGTTTGCAGTGGGAGAATTAATCCCCAGGAAAGGAGTTCCTGTGTTTGACACAGCAGTACAACATCGTCAACGTGTGCAGGACTGGGAATAACTCGTTCACCTCTAATTTTCAGGCAACTGTAGATCTTTTTGAAGCTTGCAGGTAGTCCACAGTGTAGTAATAGAACTTAGATTATGCTTCTACTTCACTTTATTAAGCAAGGCATAAAAAAGGTTACATCATTGAGAGGGGAGGGAACGGGGTTTAGGGAAGAAAAACAGTCTGAAAGCCAACGCACTTGGCAGCTCTTGGCAGCTTAATCCTGTAGGGGAAAAAAAAAACAAACCAAACCATGAATGTATACATACGCTGTTGTAACTTGGTAGAACAAAGTTTATCAAGCCCTTGTCCCTCTCCCCCAGAGTAAGCCTTGAACTGTGGAAAGTTTTCTTACACGTGTAAGGCCACGCAGTTGGGCTTACATCTTGAAACTTTATAAAATAAGTGCAACTGTAGTGAAAATATAAATCTACATTTGACCTGTTCCTTCTCTACTAAACAAAAAGAGCTTTGGCTTTTTGTTTAACTGAACTTAAGTGTTCCCTAGACTAATGTTTGCAACCCAGACAGAGCTCTACTGTGCTATTTCGAAGGCATTGCAGAAAACACACCTGACTGGGAAAGATAATGAAATGCATTTGCTAATCCTGTTATTCCAGGTGAGTGCTATCTGCCACTTAAACAATGTGAGTTCAACAGTTAGCATAAAAGAAGTTTCTTCCCACCCGACCTTCTCCCCCTCTTTCTTCTCAGTATAGCATTATAAACCAGTTAGAAAGACCCTGTTCAGGGCAACTGGTGTTCCTGTTATCATTTAGGATAGTTACGATAATATAAATTAAAGGCTGCACTACACTGGCTAATAAAGCATGCTGTTCTCATGGCTCAAGTAATGTTACTGTGTTTATTAGCTTTCCCTCTTAGTGAAATGTGTAGGCAGAAAGGGATCTTTTTTTGTCTTGTGGTTACCTTTGTTCTTTGAATGAGAGGAGAGGAAAGCTGCCAGACAGAATATAGAATTATTAAATAATCCCATAATCCCAAAATAAGAGAAAGAAGTGGTACAGGTTGTGAGGGGAAAGGTTGAGACCACAGTCATTCTAGCTGAAACCCCATGGATGTTTCTCAGCTATGCTAAAAGCGACAAAGCTTTGTGAACCTTTCTGTTGCTAGGGAGAACAGCCCTGAGGATTTACTGTCTTCTGCAGGTTCTGACACAGATTAGCAAGAGAGGACTGGTTAGTCTGTTATTTGGTGGTGAATTTAGAGACCGCCGTGGCTTGCTCGTACTTGTCTTGGGAGTAATTAGCTAATTTTTCTCAGGCGTAGCACAATTGTGTGCAGCTGGAAGTGAGATCAGAATGTTTGTATAGAATTCTCTAGGTTTAGTCTTGGTGACAGATACAAATATATAATATATCTTTTTGTCCTCATTAAATCAGATTCATAAAATTTGGATGGAGAAGGCAAATTAACTCCTGACTTCTGTGCTCTTCTAAAGCTATGATTCCCAAGTGGCAAAAATCTGTGTAGAACTCACAGGAAAGGATAAAGATGGACTCTGTACTGGTTACAATTCACTGTTAAGTGATGAGGCTGGGATAGTACATTTCTGGCATTGGACGTGACCATGGGCTTCGTCTGCTTTCATTCTTGGTGTCCAGTGTAAGGCAAAGTAGACCTGGTCTTTTCATATGCGTGGAGTGCTTGAATTTGCAGTCTGAGCAACCTGGAGTGCAATATTTGTTAGAAACAGTCCTGAGGTGTCTTAGGTTCGTCATCCAGAAGTCAGCAGAACCAGTACCAGCGGCTGCTGGACATGTTTGCTCTAGGAAACATGTTTTTCATTCGGACTTTGTAACGTTCTCAAATGGCAACAGCTGAGCAAAACTTTGATTATTGAAATCTATTTTACGTTTACTTACTTGCATAGTAAAGTGGAATAGCAATCCTTGCACTTAGACCAGTATTTACAAAGGTAAGACATACTGTCTGTTCTCGTATGCCTGACATTTGTAATGAGGCCTTAAGACGAAGGGCTGTTGAATAAATATTTTCAAAATAAGCAGGTCATTCGCCTGACTCTGCTTACAGCTTAAAAATAACAGTATTCTGACAGGTGTTTCCAACCCAGGCCTTCCTGGATAGGTCCTGGTGATAACCTGCCCGATCGAGTAATATTTGCAATGTAGACACAATGAAAACACAGCAAAAGAACCATTAAATATCCATATTATATGATAATATAAACAGGGCTTAAAGTGGCCTGATGGCAGCTGGTCCTCTCATTTAGGGAATAGAAGAGCTTCACA